TTAGCAAGGTTACAGAGCTCGCCGTTCATTCCGGCGATTCACCCTCAGGCTTCGACCAACCCAAATTCACTACTTATGAAGGAAAGTCAGACCCCTACATACACTTGAGCCACTTTCGCCAAGTTATGGCCATGTATCGGCGAAATGAGGCTCTAATGTGTATCCTGTTTCCTTCTAGCCTTGGCGACCTGGGTTTAACATGATTTGAAAGGTTGCCAGAAGGTAGCATAGCTTCATAGGCGCAACTAACGGAGACATTTGTGACTAGATTCAGAACAAACACCAAGATGCCAGTGAAGATTGACCAGCTTCTCTCCATAGACATGGGCGAGAAGGAAACATTGAGGTCCTACAATAATTAGTATTGGGAGACTTTTAATTAGATTGGAGATTGCCCCACAAACCTAGCTATCGCACAGTACAAACAAAATTTGCCGGCTGACAATAAATTAAGGGATTCAATGACAATGATGTCGCCTCTTACTATGGAAGCCCTAATGGAGAGAGTGTACCAACACATCTTGGTAGAGGAAGATGGGATGCGCACCAAGGCAGAATCCGATACAAACAGCGATGTTGGACAAAACACCCTCGGCAAAAGTTAACACAGTCGACAAGAAGGACCAACTGCGCAAAAATCTTTGCCCAACTGGGGGCAAAGTGGGTTGGCAGGTTTGACCAATTCTTTCTAACAAATCAGTGCCCAACAGGGGGCAAAGGGGGTTGGCATGTTTGACCAACTCTTTCTAAAAAAAATTTAGACCGCTTACCCAACTGGGGGGCAAAGGAAGTTGGCAGGTTTGACCAATAAAACTTTTTTACACCCTTCAGCCAAGATCAGAATTTAGGCTAAAGGTGGTTGGCAGGTTTGACCAACAAAAAAATTTTAGACTCCTTGTCCAACTGGGGGGGCAAAGGCGGTTGGTAGGTTTGACCAACAAAACTTTTTTGCACCCTTCAGCAGAGATCAGAATTTAAGCTAAAGACGGTTGATAGGTTTGACCAACAAAAAAATTTTAGACTCCTTGCCCAACTGGGGGGGCAAAGGCGGTTGGTAAGTTTGACCAACAAAACTTTTTTACACCCTTCAGCCGAGATCAGGATCTAGGCTAAAGGTGATTGACAGGTTTGACCAACAAAAAAATTTTAGACTCCTTGCCTAACTGGGGGTCAAAGGCGGTTGGCAAGTTTGACCAACAACACTTTTTTGCACTCTTCAGCAGAGATCAAGATCTAGGCTAAAAGCGGTTGGCAGGTTTGGCCAACAAAAAAATTTTAGACTTCTTGCCCAACTGGGGGGCAAAGGCGGTTGGCAAGTTTGACCAACAAAACTTTTTTCACCCTTCAGTCGAGATCAGGATCTAGGCTAAAGGCGGTTGGCAAGTTTGACCAACACAAAAATTTTGCACTCTTTGGCTAGGATGACAGTTACCTCGGCCAAAGCAGGTTGGCAAGTTTGACCAACAAGTTTTTTGGATTCTTCAGCCAAGATGTGTATCTCGGCCAAACTAATTAGTTTGGCTAGACATGCAGTCGGAATGATGCAAAACATTGAAAAAGAAACACAGTAACTGCGCCAAGAGATCGAAAATTTTCATTAATTGAAAGATGATTACAAAAGGATATATACGTTGAAGACAAAAAGACGAGACTATTCAAATTTTTGGCATGACGGCTGTAACTGGAGAACGGGGCTAATGGGGGCACGCCACATGCTAGATTAGTGGATGGACGTGCTGAGCAACTGACAAGACTTATTGAAACCGAGCAACTTTTATAGCTCAGCAGAGTTGGGCGTTCTTAGCTCGGCTGGAGGAAAATAATCTCAAACATGCTACACAGATGGAATTAAGGGACAATTGAGAGGGCAATTTCTGAACAAGTTGGGCCAAGCTAGGAAAAGTCTTCTTTGGAAGTTAGGCTGCGCAATGGGCCAAGATAAGAGCTGATGTAGCTCGGTTTTGGGCTAAGAAGACACTAAGTCGGTCAGAGATTGGTTGCTAGGGGTTGGACCTAGCTATATGAAGGTAGTCCTTTATCGGACCGAGATGTTGTCAATGGAGAGGGTCGAGCTATGTGTAGCTCGGCAGGGTGCAATTCGATAAATCGGCTTCCAGTCATATGGCCCGAATGATAGGGGACCGAGATAAGGCAGCTCGGTCAGGAATGTATATCCGAGCATAAAGGAGTGGCCATCTCACTTAGCTTGCAGTGATGAGGGTGTTTTAAGGATAATAAGCATTATTCTTGGGCATGAGACTCCTATGAGGACTTTGCTAAGGAGAGTTAGAATCCTACTAGGATTGTGCAAACCATCTCACTTGGCTGGTAATGAGTAGAGTGTTATCAAGATAGACACTCTTCACTAGGAGTGTGATTCCTATGAGGACTCTTATAAGGAGAGTTGGAATCCTACTAGGATTATGCCAAGCAGAATCTATAAAAGCTCATAGCAGGACCTATGTACAGGTATCATAATTTCTGCTCTCAAAAACATAGAGCTTTTTGTCTATTGTCAATTGGCTGACTTAGGCATCAGAGAGGTATCCAGCACACACCCACCGGCTAGCTCACGTTTGTATTTTTAGATAGCAAAGTGACGACGTTTAGAGAAGTGCAAACTTGATCAATAGGATTATACGATAAGATTATTTTCGTGCTCGTAAACTACTAGATGAATATAATTTTTATCTCGAAGCAGGCAAGAGAGTCTGACCCTCCTGCTATCTCGAGAAAACATATCCTTGAGGAAGGATAGCCTCCTAAGCTCCACTTCCTCATAAATGGAGTCGGTTCGGTCGCCTTTAAATAGCATGAAGAAGTAGGTTCTGTGAACCAATGACACACTGCAAACATCCCAAAGTTCAATAATTTCCTTTTGGAGACTCTTGAATTCTGCGGGCCAATTCGAAAGACTCTTCGAACTATCCAAAAATTTAAATATAAAATTGTAAACACGTTGCATTTGCATCCGCTGCTAGTATATATATACACACCCATATATATGCAGGTCCTAAAGGGGGAAAAGATAGGAACACACCCATTTACACTTTCAAACACACCCATAGAGAGAGTCATGGGTGTGTTTGGAAGTGTATATGAGTGTGATTGTTACAAAGTTGGGTCCTAAATGGCAATTGTCAATTTTAACCAGGGTATGCCACGTATGGCAATTGCCAAAATGTTACCTTGTGCATGGGCCTTTGGGTCAGGCCTATGGTCTAGGTTTTAGGTAGTCCATCGGGCTGGACTTATGGGCCAATCCATGGGCCTTACCCTTTTGTCCAAGCCCAGCTCATATTTCAGGACTAGGCCAAGGACCAGCTCGAGCTGGACTGTGGGCTATGAACTATTTGATGAGCCTTGTATGCACAAACTAATAAAAAGAGTACACTTTTTATATGAAAATATTCAAAATTACCTTTCCATGTACCGTTGTGTCCATGCCCTACACTTTGCCATGTTGGCATTTTCATTTTGTCTCTTACTCAAGTTGTCGATACAAGAAGAAGAACAAAGCCATGAATCTCAGCCACTCGGGCTTAGCTAAATGACTGTCGTAAATCATAAAGTGCATTTATTATGAATCCCCATAGCATAATAGGTGTCAACTGTTCTCACTATGCTTAATTAATAATGATGTCATATATAACTGATAAATGAAAAGAACACATAAAAGTTTCTCTAGCACTTGTTAACAAATTCCTGCTTTGGCATCAGCATAAACTCTGTTGAGCCATAGTTTTTCACAGAAATATTTAAAATAAAAGCCAGGAATAGAAATAAAACTCACTGGATTATCAGCAACTTGCTTCTCTTGCTGAAACTCAGCCTTTTCCTCATTCATACAATGCATGTATTAACACTAGTAATATTATCATCAGTTGAAGTTCTGCCTCTGTGCGCTTCAAGATCAATAGCAGCAACACTCCTGATCAAGGTTTTAAAAAGCGGCCGCAACCGTTACGTAACGCCGTTATATAACGGTTTTGGCGGTTACCGCCACTCGTTACGGCCGCTTTTGCTGTGTGATTGAGATTCACAGGTGTATCGATCGTAGCGGCTGCCGTAGTGGTCGTAATGGTGCCGTAACAGTCGTAACGACCTGTTACACACCGTTACGTAACAGTTCCAAACTATTTGTTTCGAAAAAACACACAAAAAAAAGCTAAAAATGGGAGAAGAGGGAAGATAAACAGAGAAAATGGAGGAGCAAAAGATAGAGAGAGAAAAGGGAAGATGAAGAACATGTTATTGATTTGTTGAAACTGTAAGACCTATGCTATTCTATTCAACTGCTATCACTAAATCATTTTGTTTCTGTGTATCTATCTATATATTGTTTCAAAATAATAATAATAATATAAGTGTGGTCATTATCTATTTGGCTTGGTTAAAATATGTATATATATATATATATATTTAGACTCTTATTTATTCTCTTACTTTTGTCATTGTTTATCTTATATATAATAGTTAGTGATTGATTTTTTGTATAATATAAAGTCATTAATTATTAAAATAAAATATAAAAAATTCAGTTTATAGTGATTTAAAAATATGAAATATATTGGATCATACTTAAAAATTTAGAAAAATTGATCAATATTTATTTTTAACCCAATAAATATGATCATGGAAAAAAAATATGCGTATCGGTAAGTTTTTTTCAAATTGTGCAAAAAATAAAAAAATTCACGGTTCCGGTTACCGCAACCGTTACACTACGGCCTTTACACCCCGCAACCGCAACCGTGTCACCGCCACCGTTACGGCGACCGCAACCGCTTTTCAGAACCTTGCTCCTGATAGAAGATTGAGAACCTTTTCTTGATAGCCTGTCAATGTTGGCACCATAGTTCAATTCATAAACCCTTCTTTCTAGAACCCAGTTGGTGGTGTGTGCTCATTATCATTATTTTCCACCTTCTCAAACCATGGTGAATATGATGGGCTAGTCATCAGGCTTGCTTTGCAGCTTCTACTTTTTGTTAACTTCAAGCTTTGAGAGCCAGACATGTACTCTGTTAATGGCCATGGAGATGGTTTTTCATGAGAATGAGCAATGAAATGGGGGATATAACTTAACATACTATCTTCCTTTAATGGCGGTGACACGAACTCCTGATCTATTGTGTCTCTGTTCCCAGCCACCATCGATTCAGAGATTTCAGTGCTTTGTTCAGGAGATGATGATCTATTCGATTCTTCTACCTCTATGCATCAAACTTCCTTGCATAAATCCTCCAAAGTCCCATGTCCCAACTCCGTCCAGAATTGCGTCGGATAAACATAGAAACACCGACCAACAGCCGTGGAGAAGTATCATTCGGCACAAAGTTCTCTTCAAATTCAGGAAGAATTTGTATGCAGTGATCATCAGAGCTTCTCCCACTATGTCCATAAGAATAAAGAGATCGCTTGACTGATCTAACACCAATGTCCAAGGAGTGAGGACTTGCCAAAGAGGATGTCTCTGGTACTGGATTTTCAAATTCCGGTGACTCCCGAACTAGCAAGTGTGGGTAGTTATTAAAACCTACCTGGAGAAGTACAAAAGGAAAAAATAAATAAACTCAACTAAACAAGGCACACCTAGGTGATATGGATGCTTCGGTACAACAATTTAACTACAGTTACCCATGTCATTGAATGTCCCTCATCCCCAACCAGTTGTAGCAAATCCTGAACCTGACATTGAGCTAAGTCTCGTTGAACAGTCAGATCTATCATCTCCTTCTCCAACTGCACAAGTAGAAAAAGTAAATAAATAAAAAGATAACAGCATTCAACATATGAGCCCATAAGACAAATGCTGCTACTTGCATGGATGGAAAATTTTGCAGCATGTTCGTGAATCATACTTCAAATGTTAGTATCTCAAGGTGCACTCTTAACTTTCCCCAAGAATGTCATTTGAAATTGAACTTTTTAAGCCTACAGCTATCAAAAAGTCAAATAAGCAGACATTAGAAGGATTTCCATATGTGATGCCATGGTTCTTCAGACTTTTTAAGCCTACTTCTTCCTTCTGCAATGATCTTGTGTTTTTTTTATCAAATCAAGACACATTAGCAAAGTACATAATTTAACAATTGAGGTAAAACTGAAGTAAAATGACATTAAAACCATAGATCCTAAAATGACATAGTTTTGTTTAACTTTAAACATAGGCCATTGGATTACTACAAGAAGTCCATAATTTGTTGTATAGAATCTTGACCCGGTCAACGATGGTCCACCAAATTAATTACCATTTTCTGTTAGGTTAAGTTGTTAAAGATATCCCTTATGGTGAAGTAAAAGTCAAATGAAGTATCTAAACCGCATCCTTGCAATGTTATTAAACCAAATGGTTCATCAACAGATCTCATATTTTCAAATTGGTATTGTTCTTGAGGTGGGATTTTGTTGATATTTCAACTGGTCCTCTCTTGTAATAATCTAAGAGTTACAAAATTGTTCTACTTTTAGATCACAAAAGTCCTAAAAATCCAACCAAAATTGAAATGAGATTGTCAAACGATTAGAAGCAAGACAAGGAATAAAGATTAGAAATGAGTAAATAGACCAAGAAAATTATTTTTGCATGTTCCGTGCAGAACAACAAATATACAAAAGGCTTAATATGAAAAACAGACAGTGAAAAGGAATGAAAGTCATGCAACCTAAAAGAAAAAATGGAATTAATTATAAATGATGGCGAAGGATGCACGCGGAAATAAGGGTTTAACAGCAAAGATTACACTTATGTTTGCCAAACTAACTCACTCTAGTGGATGTGATCATGTGACATAATTAGGGAAAATTTCACTCTGCCCTCCAATGTGGTTTAATCTATGTGCGGATTACTCCCTATCATTTGAAAATAATCACATAATCCCCTTGTAGTTTGTAGACTGAAGTGCACCATCAACATTATGTCCAAGTTAACAAGTGCGAAACACATGCCAAGACATAGAGGGGTTATGCACTCATTTCCAAATGTCAGAGGGATAAATTGCACTTGGAGTAAAACAAAGAGGGTTAACGTAAATTTTGTCTCCCAAAAAAATGAAAAAAATGTTTGTGGTTTGCATAATCAAGTTACTTATGTACAAAGGTTTCTTAGTCCACAAACTAGAGGGGGTTATGTGCTTATTTCCAAATGACAAGGGGTTATGTGCACATAGGCCAAACCACAAGGGGGTGAAGTGAAATTTTCCCTATAATTTTTAATTTAAGATTCAGAAGTACCACATTGTGGTTTTAAAGAGTCTTGAAATTTATATTCCTCATGCAACAATTACACAGAAATTTATGAACTGTTTGATATTGAAGAGGTATTGCAATTTGATAATGAAAGCCCAATCATTACCTTTTCAATCTGAAGGCCTTTCTCTCTCAGTAATGCCAAATAATGTGATGCAACAAAGGTGGGCCCTTGACTTCTCAGTTCACTCTCCAACCTAGCTAATTGTCTCTGCAGATGCTTTACTAATGCTTTATCTGATATGACTACATTAACTTGAGTGTTAGTTGTTACTTCTTTCGCACAACTTGCAAACAATAGCGTATTTCTTGATTTCTCAACATGACTTCTCGCGGGGCTCATGGTACGGACGATGGCAGTTCTAGCATTGCCTCCCAACGAGGATTGCAATATGCGAGTTAGCTTAGAATCTCTGAAAGGAACATGCTCATTTCTTCCCTTGCTGCACCCAATGATAGGACAACACAACTGATAACAAAACTTGCAATCAACAAATGGTAATGTTCAGGATGAAACATCATACAATCAAACCAAAAAAAACACAGACAAGAAAAAGGAAAGGCAGGTAAAAGGATTAAAGGCACAAAATTCTTGAGAATTTAATCATTTTGGTTGGTTTAAAAAGACCACAACAACAAATCTTTGACGTAATAAGATCATCATGATTACCCAAAGGAGTGTACTAGCCAAAAGTGACGATAGTAATCTGAGAGAATGTAGAGTAAAGCAGCACGACCAAGTGATTAGTTGTATGATCCTGACAACTGCATTGTCTTAATAAAATAAACAACTAACCATTACCAGCACCTGGTTGATATAAGTGATTACCAGTCAACGAATTTGAAAATCATGGGCTAAATGATGACGGTCAGAATCAAGTTTGAGTTAATCTGATGAAGATAATTCAAGTAGTCCTTGGTTTTTTGCTTTAAAACAATTCATTTGGCTCTTGCTCCTATTAAGACCATCAACAGGAAAAAAAAAAAGAGCAAAAAGTCCATGGTTCAGTGAAAGGAGTGTTTAGCTATGCTTCAGTTCTCTTTGTTGTTCAAGCCAAGCAATAAGGCAACTCACAGTTTTCGCAACATAGATGAATGCAATCCTTGACAACTAGATAATGATTTTTCCTAAGTATCATTGGATTGAATTATCGTCTCTTTACCCCTTATTGTTACAGAGGGAGGTTTGGACTTTCACAATCCTTCCATGTGCTAGCTTTGAGCATCAAGTTGTGGAGACAACGTCAATGTAATGTGTGACTGTGGGCAAATTTCTTAATAGCTAAATATTGTCATGGAATTCATCCTCATTCTTGCGCTCTCCATACATTTTCATTATCATATTTGGAGGAGGCTTTTTAGAAGCTAAACCTTTCATAGAAGATATACCACATACCTTCCTAATATATGTTGTGTATACTTCTTCAGGGTAGTTGGCTCGGAGATGGTGCTAGTATTGACAACAAAAGTACATAATTTACCATGTGCTGAACCATAGTAAACGATCATGAATGATGGAACTTAAATTTAGTGGAACATCTCCTATCTTCTAAGGATCTGATTATTTTGAGTTGGTCCAAATGATGGGCATTCTTAATTGACTCTGCTCATGAGGGCGTTTATTCTCAAGGTTCCACCACATAGTACATTTGTAACTAATTGTAGAAGGAAATTCCTATTAAAATATATTCATGTGGAAATTATTTCATTACATCATTGCATTTAACTTAGTGGTTTCCAAATGTTGGAGTGTCAACCTCTAGATGTAAATGTGGATTAGACAGGACATTGGAGTTTATGGAGCATTGGTATTCTACTAACAATCTTGCTTCACAGATTGTGATGCACTCAGCGAACTTACTTGGTCTTAATTTTTCCCATCATATTGATATTATTCATCAAATTAGTTTTTGCTCGTCCAAATGCTCCGAATCTGATCATTAGCCCATTGAGCTCATCAAGGTGTCACTAACTTTTTCGCATTTGGTAGGGAAATTTGGAAAGGACGAAATAAATAAATAACTCAGAACTGGATTGCAGACACTTTATTGGTTTTTATTTTTTGCAGGCCTTCTACAGATTTTGATAATATAGCTTTTGTTTAGGGGTGCAACTTGGGCTGGTTTAGTCAAGTTGAGAGGTTGTTTAGGCCAAACCCAAATTGTGTTGAGAGTTACCCAAACCAGCCCAAACCCAACCTCCAACCTGATTTTGTCTTCCCAAGTCTGGCCCGAGCTCAATAAATTGAACCTGGCTAAGCCCAAATTGCCCACAAATTTATAATAGAATAGCATGGATGTAATTTTTATCAAAAAAGCCATATGGTAAAAGTGTAGAATAAAATACCGTTGTGTTATTTCTTGTGCTAAGTTTTGGACAGGAAATACAATTATGCTATTTTAGCATTATGGTCAAAGTGAGTGTTTTTGCTGAGCTGTGCTAGTTCAACAATGCCACACCTTAAAACTTCACCGCTGGAGCTCTAAAGCTCTTCACAGCTTTCTAAATCTGTGCAGAATTTAGTTCTCATATATATAGGCTATAGCACCAGTAACTTTTCAAGCAATGACTTCAAGTTAGTTTCATTATCAAAATGATTAAAAAAAATTGAAAAACAAGCTAACCTTAGCTTGCAGATAACAGTTCCCAGGGTCAGTAAACTACGATTTATGTGGCAACCCTCCTTTAGCCTGGTGCCAACTGATAATGACTGAGATGCACGCTCACTTCCTGCAAGATCAATAAAATTCTACACAGAATGTATCAAAAAAAATATTAATATAGCGCAACATGGCATATATTAACATCTTAATAACCATTCAAATTAATCTAACAAAAACTTGACGATCCATACCACAGCAACTGTAAGGGTGCTTAAGTAGTCCTTGACTAAAAATTGCCGAGCAGAACTTTCAATTGTCTGCAAAAACCCATTCGTCAATTCAATGGAAAGAACAATAAGTTATGTTTAGAACAATCATTCAAGAAAACAACATTCCTACCAATCTGATTATTTGATGAGATTTGGAGCTTGTTTCATTCAGGGCAGTTTCCCCTATTTGTCTTTGAGCTTCATGAATGCACCAAGACATTTAGAATATGCAGTCACGATCATCTAGTAAAAGTCAGATGACTAGAGAATATCTTACCTTCACAGATGGAGAGGAGTTCCATTACATTATTCCAGTCCCTGAGAGGTTCCTCTGAGAGTTTCTCAGTAACTGTCCCTCTCTGTGAAATAGCTAAGAATTAAGCATAATGGAAAAATATCAAATACTAATTATTTAGTCGACCAAGAAAGTAATTGACCTTGGGATCATCTAGAAGTCTAAGTGGAGAACTATCTGTGCTGAGGAGGTCCCTGACAGATTCATTGTAAATCTCCATAGCAGAGAACTTCAAAAGAAATTCTCTTTCATTGTGCTGCAAATAAAACAAACATGTAAACAACGAACAGTTGAAGCCTAAGAAGCATAGGCACAAACATGCAACATGACACAGATACACGCCGACGCTGAAAATTTTCAAAAAAGCAAGACAACACTTGTGTGACACATGCAAAATATATAGTTTTATATGTTTGTATATGTCATTTATTATATATATGAATATTTTATCAAAAATAATAATTAAGAAAATGAAGCATAACATTAATTCCTAAAGTTTCGCTAATAGGCATAAAACTATATTGTTTTTCTTTTAAACTTATAATGTGTTTCATGTGTGTCTAAGAGGTGGATATGTGTGTCCTTCAAGTATCCAAGGCATGTCGGGTCCAACACGCATTGGGAAGTGTCAAATGAGTGTCAGTGTCTGACAGACACGCCATCTTCTTAGAAGTGTTGGTGCTTCTTAGGTGAAAGCCCAAGGAACATAGTACTATAATAGAATGCAAGAACATCAAGTAGTGAGAAACAGTGAATATCAGTAGTTTCTTAATTACCTTCTCTATATAATCATAAATATCTGCTATGGCATACTCAGTAATTCCCGCCATCGTGAATGTCTTCCCACTGCTTGTTTGTCCGTATCCAAAACAGTAGCTGAAATTTATGCCCATTATTTGACGTAAAGAAAATTGTCAATGGAATTCAAGTGAAATTCAATATCAGGAAAAATGGAGAAGCAAAGAGAAATAATACTCACAGTTAATAGCACTGACAACTGAAAGAGCAACGTCCTTGGCTTCTTTCTCATACACCTTTTTTTGTGGAGCAGTCACTCCTAAATAAAAAGAAAAGAAAGATCAACACGAGTATCCAACCCATGACACCAATGCTGATATGAAACTGTAACAATAATTCTTCGTAAGTTGCATTCAAACTTAGGTTTCTCAAATCTAACATACTGAACCATATGCAAAGCTTTACTTTTACAAGAAACTTCACAACTTAACTGTGGCAATAGATTCTGTAAAATTGATACCCAGACAGACCTGAATTTGAAGGCCTTCAACCCTTTTACAGTTCTTTTATTCAAAATTAAACAAATAGTGTATGGACAAACTATATTCTCAAACTACATTAAAACATGATTAGCAATCATACTTTTTAAAAAATGCGATTGTTAATCACGTTTTTTACTTTAACACATACCACTATCTGAACTACCTTTTTGCATTATATAAAAAATGTGGTTAGCAATATTTATTTTTTGGGTGCTAGTTACTAACCATGGTCTAACATAATTTGGGAATAAAGTCTGTTCTATACTATTAATTTAATTTTAAATAAATAAATACTGATGTAAAAGAATTAAAGACCCTAAATTTGAACCCTACTAGAAGGAACAGTTGCACAAGGAAAACTCCAATAGAATCGGCTAAATAAAGAAAGAACAAAAATGGTTTCCTATTTTATCAACCACAGCAAATGTTGCAGATTTAGCTCAAACAATGGCTCAAATTCTCTCCCACAAAAAAAAAAAATACCCACATAGTTTAACACAAACTTCTAGTCTTGGATCTTAATTTGGATAGATAATGATGACGCAAAGAGAAAATAGAATGAAAATGTCAAAAATAAAATAAAATAATAATTTATACTTCATTCATTCACATTTCACCATCATTTCCTTCTCACTCCACACATTACTACCCAAATCAAATCAAATCAAATCAAAGATCCCAACACAGTTTTAAATTTAAACACTCAAAAACAACACAAACACATAAAAAATTCACACAAAAAATGAAGAGAAAAGTAAATTAGCATACCAAAAGTGTAGGCAGTTGAGTACATGGAGCGAAATGGAAGTGGAAGATTACAGTTCTTGAAAATGATGGTATCTTCATTGATGCATTCCCAATCACACACATCGTTCCTTGCAATCTCCTTCTCATTCAAAGGCCTCAACCTCACCGACACAAATATCTTCTCCTCGCAGCCTCCGCCAGTCATTCCCCTATTTTCAAGCTAAACAAACTTATAGAAGTTTAAAAAATTGAGCTTTCTAACCCCAAAGATTACCTATATCCGGTTAGGCCTTTTATTCCTTTTGTACTGACCTATTCCTTGATAGTATGTAGCACTCTGTGAATTAAAAACAAAAAACAAAACAAAAAAAATTAGGGATATTCACTGATAAATCCTATCTCACAAACAATTTTATCGATTGGTCCTAAGGTTATTTCTATTGTTCTGATTAGTCCTATTAGTGGAGAAATATCTTACCAATCGATCCTATTTCCTTTGTTTAGTAACATTGAGTGGTCAATTATACCCTTCCGTATGTGTGTCACGTGACATACATCATTCCAAAGCAAAAAGCATAAAGAGCCTTAGTGTACTTTGTTGATGTGTGGCACCCATTGTGTGTGTCACGTGACATACATCATTCCAAGGCAAAAAGCATAAAGAGCCTTAGTGTACTTTGTTGATGTGTGACACCCGTTGTGTGTGTTACGTGACACTCCAAGGCAAAAAGCATAAGGAGCCTTAGTGTATTTTGTTGATGTGTGACACCCGTTGTGTGTGTCACGTGACACTCCAAGGCAAAAAGCATAAAGAGCCTTAGTGTACTTTATTGATGTGTGACACCCACTGTGCGTGTCACGTGACACACCCTCATAAAGAGTCTCGGTGTACTTGTTGACGTGTGGCACCCATTGTGTGTGTCACGTGACATATTGTGTGTGTCACGTGACACACCCTCATAAAAAGCTTGCATCTAATAATATCTAAATGAGGGCATTAAGGTCCTTCAAAATATCCAAGGACTAAACGGTTTATTAAAAAAAAATTGAGACCGATTAGTTCATAAGTTGAACATTTGGGATTTATTGGTAAATCTCCCAAAAAAATTGCTCTTTAAATTCTTTTATACGAAGTTTAAAAAAAGAAATTTAAAATTCATTGAAAGACAACCTTGTCAAAGAGTACGTAGATCATGATTTTAAAAAAAAAAAAAAAATTAAAATTCCATTGTTAAATGGGGAGTGTTTTTTCATTGGTTTTTTTTTTTTTTGTTCTTTTGGTTCTTTATTGAACATTTTATGCAAAAAATTCAAAAACAATTTACACTTTTCAATTCTACTCGACTATATGAACTAGAAAAGTAATAAATAAATAAATAATTTTAAAAAAATTCTTTAAAGATAAAAAAAAAAAATCCAAGGCAAATTCGATTTTTGTTGGTTTTCTTTTTGGATTTAGTAAACTTTTTAAAAGAAATTTAAGTCCATGTTTGATTTGTGTTTCAAAAAAAAATATTAAGAAATTTGTTTGAAAAAGTAAAAACTAATTTGATAAAAAAAAATATTAAAAATATAATTTCAAATTTTTTAAATTATTTTTGGCCTTTCAAAAGATAAAATTATATAAAAATGCTAGATTTTTTTTTTCTTTCGACAAATTAATTTTTTGTTTTTTAGCAAAAATAAAATAAAATATTGAAAATCAAACCAAACATGGCATAATCTTTTTCTTATTTATTTTTTTTTAATTATTTCACACTAGACCAACTAGAAAAGTGAAAAGAATTTAATACAAATTTAAAAAGATCACTATAACTTTTTAACTGAATGCCAAACGAAACCTAAATAAATTGCAACCAAATGGTTAGAATGTTTTTGGCTTAAAACAAATATCCATTTTACTTTTTATGGTTGGCAAATTACACTTACCTCCCCTAAGATTGAAAAAAAATATAGTTAGTTCCACAATTTTGACATAATTACACTGACTTTCTCATGTTTTAATTTACATAACACTTAGGCCCATTTTTTATTAGTAATTCGCTAGTTATATGGATTAAAAAAATGACATTATCATATATTTTCTACTAAAATGTATATTTATCTTTATTTATTTCAGTATCAACTCACATTGACATTAGTTTTGGTCTCGTAACTATACTAAAAAAGATGAGTAATGCTAGAGATCCCAAAAGTTCTACCAAATATCTTATATAGGTGTGGTCCACACCCATGTGAAACATTTGGTAGAAATTTTGATAGAACTTTTGGGATCTCTATCATTTTTTGAAATGATAATTAGTGTAACGGTGGTGCTATATGCACCAATTAGTACATTAACTGGTGTACCAACACAAGTTATAACATTATTATTGACCCCGCTCATTATACAAATTACAAATACCAAAGACGTCTTAAATTATGTCATATCATCAATTGATATACTAGTTAGTACATTAATTGGTGCATATAGCATTATTCTTAGTGTAATGGTTATATTAAAGGGTTTTTGTAAGGATTCATTAAATACACTTAACTATCTCCACTATCATAGAAAAGATAAACCACGATAAATATATTTTGTTAGAGACTAAACTACTCTTTTACTTAATTCCTTCTATTTTAACATTATACACTTTTATAATGGAGTTTTTTTTTTAAAACTTTTTTTTATCATAAAAACAAAATAAATGTCTTTATTTTTAACTAACATTTCATGGATTTTTTAAAAAAAATTTAGTAATGGATTTTTTTTTAAAATTTAGTAATGGATTTTTTAAAATTAATCTAAGGTCACTCTTCCATTTTTTAGTAATGGAAGAGATCCACAATATTATTTTATGATATCTAAGGTCCCTTAACCCCACACCCATGTATTACAAAGAAATTTGGTATACCTCACGGCTTCAAACCTTCACCCCTCTCTCTCTCTCTCTCTTCTCTCCTTCAAACTCATGCATCACCTCTTCTCTCTCCTCGCTGCTCTTCTCTCTCTCTCGTCGATCCAGTTCAATCAATTCAAGAAGCCCTATGTCAAGAACTCCTCGGCCACTCTTGCTCCGATTGAACCGTCGTGTAACGCCCTCAAAATAATACATATAAACCCACATTCTTGACCTGCATAGACATAAGAGAATAAAGCATATTTCTATTTATCAGAGTATTCATTACAAAAGTATTACATGTTGACAACAAAAGTAAATGCCCTATGGGCTTACAACTTTCCACGCCAACACTTAGTTACAAAAAAGAGTTCTAACTCATGCACATTAAGCCCTCGGCTTGAGTCTACATGTAATATCAAAATAACAAAACAACTAAAAGAGTCTTCAACTCCCAAAACCTTCCAAGCCATGTCCTTGGAGGTAGCATGTCACCTGAACCTGAAAATGATGTCCTATATAGGGTGAGCCACAGCACAGTAGAGATATACTAAACCAAATATGAGTAATGACTAAAACAATAGCATTTGATAGATGGTTAACACTTATAAACCAATTTATATCACAATATAGTTCCATGACAATCATGTTCATGTTGCATTCCGCTTTCCTTACTTATCCAAATCATTTCATAAACATGGCTCAGAACTTGGCCAAACAATTCAATGAGACTATAACTCATATAAAGACACTTCCATACTTCACAATTTACATGAGATTACAACTCACATTAAAAACACTTCCAAACTTCAAATGATACACATATTTGCTGTATCAATACTTCAATTTAATACACATATTTGCTGTATTAATGGAGTCCATCCCCTATTTTCCCTCAAACCATAGAGTATATCTCCTATCTCCTCCCACATAATAGACATATCCCAAGTATATAAACACTCATCATATACAAGGATCAATCAATACACATATTTGATGTATTATTCCAACCGTCATATTCAATGACATATTCAATGTGATTAGTTTCAGTTTTTCCTAATCAATATACAATGTCTACAATAATTAAGACTATCCTCCATTGATAGCCCAAAGTAGTTATTTCTAAACAGAAAATAAATGCATTAAACAGATATAATATCAACATTTTCATAGGTGAGTGATTAATTCATCCAACTCCACCATTCAACTTTATAATTCTCCAATTTCATAATTTCCAACTTAATTTCATATTCCCACAAATTAATTATTATCACATAGCTAGGGCATTTTTCCCTAATTCTCAATATCAACCCTAAGGCTCAATTTCGTCAATATAACAACAATAATTTCATTTTTTTCAAGGTCTCATATACCTATGGGATTTAACATTTTGAAAACCCCCCTTTTTTATAAATTACGAATCAAACCCTAACTTTTTCCAAAATTACCCAACAACACCAACTAATCAAAATGACCAAAATTTATGACAAAACTCATAAGATGGAGTAGGGTATCCCTACCTCAAGATGGAGAGACCAAAGGAGAAGATGATGCAAACTCAAAGTGCTCCAAATCTACTATTTTTCAGATTAAAAGGAAACCCACACCACGTTCTATCTTTCTTACAAAGAACTAAGGATAGAAACACACTAAAAATAGATGAAACCCTAGAAAGAAGGTGTATAGAGAGAGAAGGAGCATCTGGCCTCGGGTTTGAATGAAAGAAGATGGTGAAAAAGTGAAGTGTAACCCGTAGCTGCCCACTGATATATTCGAGGCTCGCTCGAGTGAAGGAGTGGTCGCTCGAGCGACCAGACACAAAGAAACCTTGCTCGAGCGTAGAAAGCCTCGCTCGAGCCAACAATTCGAAGCTTCAGGTCTATAACCAGAAGCACACTCGAGCAAAGAAACTCAAAACATACACCTCACTTGCTCGAGCGAAGGAAAGCTCGCTCGAGCCAAGAATTGTAACCTTCAGGTCCAGAACCAAATGCAGACGCAAGCTCGAGCACAAGACTTCTCGCTTGAGCCACCAGACACATCACCTAACTCTCGCTCGAGCGAAGGAACCCTGGCTCGAGCGAAGGATCTAAAACACAGAGCTCACTCGAGCGAAGACACAAAAATCTGGGCAGCAACCATTTGTTCCCAATCGCAATCAACCTGTTACAAACCTGCCCAACACATCCTAAAACTCAATTATAAGGAATTAAAGGATGACAACAAGATAGATACAACAACCACCACCACGGAGCTTAAGTCCGGAATACTGTACATAAATGGGAAAACCCGGGATCGCTATACACCGTGTGAAGGTCTTCCACCGTGGCTCAGCGACAATCTCTGACCACTCTCGAAGCTTCTTCAGAGCGTTGATCCCCCAATCACATCACCTCTCA